GTGAAATTCAACCTTAACTGAATTACTCATGGTTGTGTGATAACGTAAAGGCTTCGGTCTCAACCAGAGAAGTCAGGATCTTTCGAAAATAGTACATCTGTGGATATGGCTAAAAATGGCAAAGTACATGTAAGGTGTAATGGTAAGCTTACAGTCATTGACTAGAATGGGCACAATAGGCCTTATTCATATTCCCAGTATTGAACTGGAACTAGCTTGCAATGGAGGCTCGTACGGCCGCATTTGTATTTGAAAGGACTCCCGGCCTTAGCCTCAATTGCAAGCTAGTTCCGGTTCAATACCGGGAATACGAATACGACCTATTCACGAAGGCGGCAATGTAAGTTGCCAACCCTGTAGCTAGAAAGCCCAGAGTATTAGCAGCTTCGGACAGCTTTTTCGGTCTTGTTGAGCTCAAGGCCCCTACCTACGCATTCTTTCATACTAAAATTATAAAAAGTGATGTGAAAATTGTACATTTGTGGAATATGGCTGAATATGAATGTGGAAAATGGCGAAGTATGTACAATGTAATGGTTAGCTCGCAGTCACAGAATGCCCACAAAGGTGACAATGGTAGAGGTCGTAAACCCTATAGCTAACTCAATAATCACATTAAGAAGTGATCCCAAAGCATTTGCAGCCATGAAGTGATGTACTCCACTGACCTTGATGTACAGGTCACACAGGTCTTGACTGCTAACTTTATTCGCAGGTTAAAGAGACGAGCTTGGAAGTTTTCTCTTGGACAATGTTGAACGCGTGAAGCATTCGACATTACCATTTTTGGAAAAGCGTTGGCGGTCACTGATATTGCCCACAGATTATAATTTTCCGAAGTCGTTAATTAAATTAATTATCTACTTGAGCTTGATGAGTCAAATTAAGAGTTATAATCAGCCCTGCGTTGTGTATTGCCAATTAAATGCCATGGTGAAATGAGGTAGAAATCCAGAAAAACACACGTACGTTGCGTCTTTGGCGGTGCACCTCAACTGACGTCTTTTCGCTTGGTTACTCTCGACCTCATCGCGAGAAGAAGTTTTTAATGGAATTCATAGGTCCGTTTGCCTTCTTGTTCAACTGAAAAACTCGTAACTGTCTGACAGCGTCGTGGAAAATAATTTTGACGTTGATATCGTTAGCTGCCGACGTCTCGTGGAAGAAACATTCATATTCCGAAGCAAACTCTAAGGCCTCTTGTTTACACACCGCTCGTGTGTGACTCAGGTCCACTTTGTTACCAACCAAAACTATGGCAGTTTGTTGGCTTCGCTGTTTCTTTAGTTCCCGGATGAGCTTGATCAGTTGTTTTGCTGTTTGGAATGTACGTGGTTCGTCGATGGCGTACACTACAACAAAACCCTCGTTTTGGCTCAGATATACAGGTTCGTGCTGAAAGTAAAGATAGACTAATGTTTGATGTTTGCCTGATATTCAAACTCATTTCCAGGGTTTTAAGTTTCAGCCTCGTAGCAGTGCGGAAAAAAGTCGAAAAAAAATAGGAATTAAATTCACTTCCACGGGCATTTTTCTGGGAGGCTTGATTCGCGATTCATAATAAATGTACTTGGAAAATTACAAACTGATTCAGGAATAAAATGGCACTAACAACAGAATGGGCTGTTAATAAGAAATGGTAACTTAGTATAACAAGAAAGATGTTTTAAATTGAAAACATCTTAAAACACTTAAACTGTTTGAATCACCGCTGATTAACAACAAAAACATGGAGGATTTTTTGCCATGTTGTGTGATACCAGTGTCTGTCATTTCTCTAAAATAACAAAGTAAAATAACCCTTGCTTCTCTTCGGAGGTGTTCCTTTTAGATTTTAATGGGGAACCGGTCAGAGAGGAGGAGACGGATCAGCTTCACAATGCACAGGCTCCTTCGTCCCCAGTCTCGCTATTCTTGGCTAGCGGATTTTCATCACCCTGTCCACCGCAAGGAGACCTTTTACCCACCCTATCCCCACCAAGGAGCCTGCTGAAAAGCAAACCCTCCAGACGTCTGTCACTCTGTGCATCAACGTTAACTCACCGTGCTAGCTGTGTCGGTGATGTGCAAGATAGCGGGATCCTCGTCTATTTCAGCGCACATATCATACGTCATTTCTACGACAACGAAACGTACTTGAGTACAAATGAAAACAGACTACGGACAAAATGAAATTACTAAGCTGAGCCAGCAACAACCGCCAAGTATTACGTCTATTGTACTTCAAGAGAGAAAGAAAATTGCTACTTCGAAGTCTTCATTGCATTCCTTAAAACAAATTATCAACAGAGAAGAGCAGATGCAAATCACAGATCAACTTGTAAATACAATGTTCTCACTGCAAATCTTAGAATATAAAACGCCAAAGCAAAAACTAAAACTACACGACACGTACATGTGTGTATGTTTTTTTTTTCCGTTTCTGTTTCTTTTGGCGTGCGTTTCTTTTTTTGTACGCTTTCTGCTCTCCGCGACTAACGTACTCAATGGTTTGTTAATAACGCATTAGGACTTTTGTAAACAATAACTTGTAAATTAGATTGTAGAATGCATTCTCCTTTCTATGGGTGCATTTTTTTCCTCGCTTTAATTAATCAATAGCTTAAATAGTATATTAGGACATTTGTAAAATAACTTGTAAATTTGATTAGATTTTTTTTTTTTTTTTTAAAAAAGATGAGATAATGTAAATTAGAAAACTAATTGAATTAAAATGAAATGAGACCGGTCTGTTTGTTATTAAAGTATTTTAGTATGTTTATAGTTCTTTTTCGTCTTCATAGGGGTACATAGCGATAAATGTACCTGGTTTAAGCAAATCTACAGACGTTGTAAAGCAGCTGAGTATTTCCAATAAAGAACATGCAACAGGACACCACATTCAAGTTCGCTGTAGTAAGTTATCCCTGTTCATTCAGACATCTGGTTATCACGGATAGTGTTTTGTCTGGAGGCCCCACACATTTTTTTTCATACAGACATAGCTAGTTTTTAATTGTTATTTGCTTTTATCAACCGCTTGACTTAGATACGTCGTTAGCAAAACCAGACTGTTTTGGTTTCGGCAACTGGTCACAGTCCGCCGGCACATGTATGGGGTGAACGAATCTTGTACTGACTCTCCCTGTGGTCAGTTTACGGCTGAAGAAAAGCTTCAACGGCACAATTAAGTGGAAATCGAACGTAAATGTCATTGCTGTAACATTGCTCATGAACTGAGTTCTATTTTGAAAACTGGAGATACTAAAATCTGCCCTGTAATGGCAATCTGCATGACTCATAATCCACCATAATCATAGGAAAATGTGTACTGAATTAAATTCAGACTGTACTCGTGAGCTGAATTAAAAATCTTTTCTAAATAGAGAGATTTGCGACAAGAGATCTCGGTCGTCACAAGTAAGTTACTGATTGAAATGACTGATAGAATCTTTTGGTATGGATATCGTACACCGCGTGGCACAAAATGTCTGGAGGAGTTTAATTTTGTAATTTTTCATATTTTGCGGACCTAATTTTTGCGAGTTGGGGAGACAGGGAGGAGATTGGGCACGGCCCGAAATGTAGTGTGCGAGGCACTTTTGACCAATGAGAGGGCTCGTTCTATCTAGCTAGACCCGTTTCCGCGATTCGATTTGCGATGCTGTTGGAGGGAATCAAGTTTTGTGATTGTCAGTGACCTACGTAAAAATGTGATGACATCCAAGTACATTCGTTTGATTTTTCAAGCAAGTACCTCTAAATAAAGGTTTAACCGCTACATTTGACAAAGCAACCACTACACTTGAAAAAATTCACCATCTTTGTTCATTTAACGTTATCCATAGTTATTGTTCTGCAGAGATTAGAAATGCGCCACGTGATCAATATTTGGACGACAAATGTAAGCGTATCTTTTTCTGTTTTTGAGAAGGACTGCATTATCAGAGCTATTACTACCTTCTTCCTCTTCGCATCAGTTCTCACCATAACTCTTCCTCTTTATAATAGAGTAAAGTTTTGCGCAAAATTGTCTTGCAGGGACTGATCATTCAGTTATTAGTTTCTGTAGAAACCACTGTATCCACTGGGCAGCTTTGGCGAGCAAGTGAAACACTTAGCTAATGGTCAACTACCTCTACGAGACGCACCTACAGGGAATCATGGTAGTTGTATTCATCAAAACAAATATCTAGTCCTATAAGATGAATGCGGCTACCATGATTCCCATCAGGTTCGTCTCGTAGACGGAACAGGCTGTTACCCACTTGAAGTTTGATGCTTTGTAGCGAGTTTGTAAAGCTGAGGTCGGGCGTCAAAGCAAAAGAGCAGAAATATTGCTGGGGTTTTACAGGGACCTTTTGAGCGGATCAAAAAGGAAACTCAGAAATATCGCAAAATTGCAATCTAGAAATATTTCGTGCTACGGTAAGGAAAACTGAGAAAAAGTGTGCATGTTGTGGCAGACATCGTGCTCAAAGAGAAGGCGAGATAGTCTCAACGAAACTGTTCCAGTTACGAGCATAATGAACGGAGTAGATTCGCATGCCTTGCCCGTTGCGTGTTTGTGGTTGATAACATCTCGTTTCCCAAAATAACATGAGTTTGCATGACCTGGAATAATCATAGCCACACACGTGTGAACTACATACACCATCTTGGACAATTTACGTTTAGATTATAAGAACTCAGACACGCGATGTCTTTTGCGTCAATGTCACTGACGTTCATCGTGAAATTAAGATCGGAACGGAGTCATTTAAATTCCGAAGCAAAACCCAAGAGAGAGAGAGAAAGGAAAAGTACTCTCATTGTAGATCTGAAGCTGTTCATTGTTACACATGAAGGGTACACAAAAGCAGGTTTTCTCTACGCTACGAACAATCAAACAATCAATGAAACAAACAGGCCATTACTTACCCAGTGTTGGGTCATATTCATGTATGAATCGTCCCGTTGTAAATCGAACCAGCAAAGCTACAGAAGTAAATTAAAAGAATTGGAAGCAAAAGTAAGTTTTCTGATAACAAACCCCAGCCAGTACAAAGACTTATTTAAATTCAGTAATAGAATATGGCACAAAAGGTGCTAGTTAGACCAAGCCAATAACATATAAATAAAACAATCGTAATCAGCTTATAACTGTAAGCATATAAGCGAAAAGGAATTAAAAGACGAGATTGTTAAAAAAAGTTCCAAAAGTCTTAAAGCTCCAAGAGGTTCTAATTTTATCCTCGGATATTATTTCAATGGATTATGAGATTTTTTTCAGCGTACGACCTTCCTCGCTTAGTTCCTTGCCCCCGAGTGGGGGATAGGGCCGGACGACCTTCCTTAGCCACTCAATATTGTGCTTCATGTCGTCATATTGCCTTTTAACCATTTTGATAAAAAAAAAAAAAAAAAAAAAAATCATGGCAAATTGGATTAGCCATCTTTCCGGCAGAACAGCGAGTGTGCAATGGAAGGAACAGCATTCTGAAAGCCAAACTCAAACAGAATTGTTACAAAAACACTCTGTTGTTTACATAGTTTTCAGTAGCTTCCTGAAACTCGACGCATGGCTGGTTGTCTACACTCGANTAAAAAAAAAAAAAAAAAAAAAAAAAAAAAAAAAATTGAAATCCTCCTGATAATAACGAGCTCTCCCGAGTATAAGCCAATTATACAAAAAGCCTTTTGAACAAAAGAACCCAAACAAAGATTCACTGATCCTTGATAACAATTGCAACTGAACACCGGTATGATAAATATTTGAAAACTACTTTTTACTCCGCCAAAAAAAGGGTGAGAACGATCCCGTGCTTATCAATGCAAATTATTGCGCAAGCGGTAAACGTTTTCACCACATGTTAGCAATATTTAGTCGTTCTTGTGCTGCTAAAAATATCTGTAAAGGTCGGCTGACTTCTTTTGTAAAGACCTACTATTAAAAGATCACCATTATTTATATATCCCGCAAGAATTTGGTCCACTTCGCCATGTTAGAATGTCGCTGTTTTCAATACTAGCGTGCCTTTTGCGGAATTCTGAGCATATTCACCTTTTCAATTGTGTTTGAAAAACAAAGTAAAATAGAATTTTTCAGTGAAAGCAGAACCCGAAAAGATTCTACGAAAGCAATTGTTATACGACTCTATCGCAAGACAAACCGAAATATTCCTTTCTTTAAGAATCCGTGCTTGAGTAACCACTTGTAACAAAGTATCAAAGCAAACCATTGAATAAATAAACTTACTCGTTTAACATAAACAAGCAATCATATCATGTTGTATATCGCTAGGATCTCGCGTACCCGCGAAAGAAACATTGCTTATGGGATGAGGCAAGTTTTGATAATCTGCTTTAGAAACCAAAACGTGATCTTCTTGTTATATACCCTTCTCTTTGCATCTAGAAATTGCAAAACGTTTCTCTGTTTCATGTAATGCTTTCACGGGTGAGGGATAATTACGGCTAATTGTGGTTTAATTTGTTTTCTCAGTTTTTAACAAGTTCGCAGCTGATATTCAAATAATTTCTAATCCCGAAATTAAATCTATTTCAACTGTAGGTAAGTTGAAAATTTCCTCACAGAAACGTAGAAACACGACAAACTGTCATCAAAAGAGAAAATATAACGTAAACACCACGGGGTACTTTCACAAATATCATTCAAAGTCACCCCATTTAAATTGCAAAATGTGGTTGTGTGGTTAGGTCTTGTTAAAATTCCTCGACCCAACGTGTCAATATCATAAGTTCTCTTTAGCAAGGTGATGACTCACCAGATTTTCCAACACCTCCCTGCCCTAGAAGAACAATGTTGTAGTCTCTGAAAGAACTGCTTCGTCTGTGTAATGCGCTTGAGGTAGCGTTCCTTGTGTTAAGTGCTGCTGGGGCTTGAGCAACGAAAGGTTCGCTGTCCCTTCGTTTCGGCCGATGTTTCATCGGCTTTTTGTTGGTCAGGGTCGGCGAGCCGGGCGACACAGGGCTCGGACATCTGGGCGAAGAACTGTCGTAGTCCAGAACTTGCTGTGACTCATTCGTCCTCCTCTCTGATGACAAAGGAACAGAAGGAACAATCGGTGGAGGGCTGTATCCTCGTTCGACATCTCTCTTTCCGCGTTTTGCCTTAGACAATTTCGGGACTTCTGGCGGTGGAATTATACGATCCGCTCTGAAGAGGACGCCTTTCGATTCGGAGAAATGTTGTTGAAGTACGACCGCAGGAGCAGAGCCTCGTCTTCGAAGCATTGTAGACGAAATCTCTAGAGCTGACGAATGCCAACGTTTTTTCTAGCAGTAATGATCTTGAAATGTTCTGTCCGTTGTGAAGTTATGATCATGAACGAGATAACTGTTTACTTGTTTGTTTTCTTTCTTTCTCGCAACAACAATGTTATCTCTTTCTCATGGTCGACTGCACGATGTTTTGTGCCTGTATTAACCGTAATTTTCAATTTCACTGAGTCAAATGACCACGCGAAAAGATAATTAGTTGACGTGTAAGTCAGTGGACTGAAAAAAACCCTTTTGTTCGCAATGAGAGTGATTAAAGGGTGCCTTGACCCTACGATTGAACATGGCCGCCCTTAATCAATCAAAAATCAAACCGAAAATGGCAAAAATTCATGGATCTTTTATAATGAAACGCCTTAGTTAAAACCAAAAACACCTTCTTAATGATTTTGATGCAGAAAAGTCGTTAACACACAAGATTCCAAGCACAGATTAATCCCGTCAGTCTTCCTCGAGAGTGACGTTTATCAGAAATCGGATTTCACATCCTTGCTTATTGGATTTTCGTGAAAGATTTGTCACTAATAGCCGATTGGAAAATCTGTCGCAGTTTTAATACCTAAAGTGTTAAAGTAACCCAAAGTGGTGTTTGAAAAGTCTTCTCGACATGTTTTCTAAGCGTCTGGGGCGGAAAAATGACATTTTCTTAGATTTTGTTAACGACTTGTTGATAAAAATCAGTCATTCCTTTTGCGAATTGCTAGACAAAAGAGAATGGAATCATAATTAAATGGGCAGAACATTTTAGGACTGCAGATAAACTGGAGGGTGTAGGTGCCGCCGGAATCCATCAAAAGATAAGAGAAAAATGACAAAAGACACGAAAGCCAAAGAATGTGATCATTTTCAGCTGCGACCGAATCAAATAATCGCAGTTATTGCATGTTGACTTATGGTGTTTGCTCTTAACACTGTCATAGGCATTCTTCCAATGGCGGTGACCTTTTGAATTCTCTTCATTAAGATGGTAATGTGCAAAATTATCGAGCTCTTAAGAGTTTTTATAATTGAATTATAAAGTTCTGGGTCAAATTGCCGTTGAGATTAACGCCAGACACAAAATCCTTGTATCCAGATCTCTTAACTGACATCCGGCCGTAGCAGGCCTGCATTCGTAGTAATGATATGGGGGAAACTCAATCCCATAAGTTTCTATATATGGAAACCAATCGCTGGCTGAGATTTCTTCTTTCCCTAGGAGGACCTGGTAACTTTCATTCCCTACCAGCGACTGAATAGATTGATCATTGGTGCTACCCGAGATGTTATAAGGGTTAGTAAATAACATGACGTATCCTGACCAGAAAACAACCAGGAGCATTGTTATGTCACATGCGTTAAATTTCTCACACAGCCTCACTTCCTCCGTCTTCAAGCCCAGCCCTTGCGCGTACCTCGCGCTCACACACGTGAAGAATGTTGGCTGCACCTGATTTCCCGCCCTTGCACTTTGCCTCCATGCCCGATTGCTATTACCTTATTGATAGTAAACTTGCTGCGATTGGTCAATACAACATCTATTCTATATTATCGTAGTACTGCATGGTACCGCTGGCCAGACCCGTGGACGTGAGCCGGTTTCTTACAACCTGATTGCTCATTTACTGGGTTACACTGAGCAGTGTTGGGATTTCTTTGGCTCTGGCTCATGTTTTACGCCGTGATCTACATGTAGAACTAAACTATATGCTTTTGTCTGGCCAGTAAATATTAACTACTCGGGCTTCGTATCGCAATATCAAATCATACTCTACAAGTATGAGACAGAACGCAAAAAAACAAACAAACAACAGAATCGAGATATTTAAAACAAAAGTGAAGCTTACATATTTACTGTTCAAATGATTCAAGTTGATCCGCTGGGGTGTCACTTTCTATCTTAAATTTGTCAGGTATATCACCACAATCAATCCACGTTACATTTCAGTCAAGACAATCGAATATAGAAGCTTGACAAATGTCTTTTCTAGTTCTATTGCGGAAAGCAACAAGACAAAAAGTTGATGCCTGAAACAAGGGTTTTTTTATGCGGGTACATAAGGTGCAAACCAACTGGTCAAGAGTAACGCGGGCCTCGGGTAAGGCATTGGCTGTCATGGCTGTTTGGTTTATCTCGGAGTTCTGCGACCGTTGCAAGGGATAACGAATTTGCAAGTAGGTCACTGAGAAGTCAGAGAGATTGCAATTCATGTTTACATGACAGGGTAGGAAATTTAGCGAGCTCTTCCTTGGTGTAGAAGACACAGTTGACGTAAACCAATAGAGAACAAAGGACAAAAGAACAAGGAATACAATAACAATAGGTTTGTGAGGCGGTGTTCTATTGTGACGTGTCTAGTGTCTTGTACACCAAGAAGCAGTCACTGTATGTTAAAAGCAACAGGAATGATCGTTTTACGGTAGTTACAACTCTAGTTATTTATTTCTTGGAAACACAACTAGCAGATCGATCTTACTTTCAGCACAAAACTATCAGAGCGGAAATCGCGATTACGAATATATTACTATATTACTATTACTATTATTACTATTATTATTATTATTATTATTACTATTACTGTTACTATTCAATACAGAGACTGTATATAAATCAAATCTTTGCATTATTTATTCACTTTGCCTTGAGAATGGTGTCACGATGACGCCGAAACGTCGGCTTTTAACGTTAATATTCGCCTGCTTATGATTTAAGAAATCAATATTGATCAAGATTATTACTATTAGTGTTATTATTATGCACAGTGTAAGACGTAGGGATGCGAAGCGTTAAACCCATAAGGCGCGGAGTGACCTATGTGGCCTTAGAGGAACTGAGTAAAGCTAACTTCGTTACAATATGTTACAAAAGCAAAATAAAAAAATTTTCATTAAATAAGAGAATCTGACTTCGGATGAGCTGTCCATAATCCCCGACCCCTGCTCCGGCCTCAAGTCCTCGTTTTACTGACACCCAACCCCTTCAGATCGATCTTAGAAGGTCTTCGAAATGCGGTCTGATCAATTTCTATAGTTTTGAGTCTTCCCATTTTACCTTTCATCATCAGAAGCATGATTTTCTTTACTTCTTCAATCCCGCCCTCGCCATCACTGCTCAGTCGTGTTTGAATCCCTCTTAAAATAGTGTCTTTCTTGTTTAAAAGAGGGCAAATCACGAATGGAAACCCAAACTTCTCTTTGTAAAGCCTGTTGTAATACTTAAGCTGTTGAATTTCCTCCAGTGTGTACTTAGTTTTCACAGCTGCTTTGTGCTCTGTTAGGGATTCGGGCGTTAAAGACACTCCAGTCGATCGGCAAGCTCGGGATGGCTTCGCAAAATCCCTGCTGTTCCATCTTTGGGCAGCTCGTCAATAAACTGGCACATCTCTGAGAGGAAGCTGTCAAACGAGGAAAATGGCCTTCTGGGGCATACAGCCGCTACTCAAAGTGGTGTTATCTCAACGACGTTACCAAATTTATGGATGATCTCTCCATAATCCAGTTCGTTCACGGCAGAAATTTCGTGCAGGAAGTGTAACTAAGGGCGCGTTTCTTTAGGGTGATCTGGATCAGGATCAGTGATCCAAGATCACTCGGAACATGGCACATCAAAGGAACCGATGAATCCGTGACCCTAATCCAGTCCGTATTTGTGTTTACCAATTTGGCCTCCCCGCAGCAGGGGTAGATTACATCAAAGTCACGAGTTACATTCAAAGGAAGTGTGTATGATTTTTGCAAAGCTGTTGTTTGGCGCTGTGATTTCGACCCGCTCGCCTTCGACAACCTGAGCCTGTGTTAACAGGAATGTTTTGTAGCTCGACTGTCTCGACTGAAATGCGGCGCGAATTGTTTGCGGTGATGTACCTGACAAATGGACTCCACCGCATTTCATTCCTTTATATACGAAGATGTGGCAATGATACACTTCTGTAACAAATCGCGAGGAATTGGCGTTCGGGTTAAAGAAATAAATCAATTGAAAAAAAAAAAATTGAAACAAAAAAAAAACAAAACAAAACAAAAAAAACAATGAAGCAAAGAAATAAAAAATTAGAAAAAAAAGAGACCCCGACCCCGACCCGATTCGTTGAGTATCGTTTTTATCCAGTTGCTTGTTGTTTGCCTCACCTTCGTCGACGTTCTGTTCAGGAACTGATTCTTGATATTTTTCAACATCTGGGATGTTTGTCTCAGCATCATACTTTGTTATTAAGTCAGTAGTCATAGTTTTGTCAGTGTTTTCGTAGTTTGAACTCACTTGTGGCTCATTCGCTTTCCCGTGAGACCGAGCATGAACTTCACTAATTTGGCTAGCTATCAAGCTAAAGAATTCGTGGACAGACCCATTCTAAAAGCGCTCGACATCTTTACATGTGAGATGAGCGTAGAAGGCGTATGTTGTTCACGAAGAGTGAGCGGGCGATTACCAAGCTGTCTCAATTGTTATCCTTAGTTTCCACGCTCTACGCTGGCAACCCCTGGGATCATGACCCCCTTTTTGGAGACCAAGACAAAACTGTTTACTTTCTTGGACTCGGGCTTTCCTACCGAAACCCGAGTAATAACTCAACAGCAGGCCTTACTGCCTGCGGGATTTCTTTCTCTATAGAGGCAATCAGCTTCGTGTAGTTGTTTGAAGATCTTCGATAGTCATAGAAATTTGGACACAGTTTCGTATTTCCGAATAGTGGAAAAACTTGACATTTTATTTTGATATGAAGAGAAAATAAGGAGACAGTCCCCGACTTGGTGTTCTCCGGAGAGGGTGGGAGTGGGAGTAGCAATGTAACAATAACTTCTGAAACCAGCTGAAGCGACACTTAAGATAAAATGACCATTTAATGTCACTTGATTTGCTTTACGTTACGTGAACAAAATTGACGTTTTATAAAAAGACACACCAGGCAATTAGTGAACACCTCGCCTCGGTCACGCTGATGTCACGTAATACTTAAAGTGTTGTGTGACGAGGCACCATAAAGCTTCTCACATACGTGCAGTGCATGCCATGGATGTCGTTAAAAAATGAACTTACCTGTTAAGAGAAAAAAATTAACGAACAGACCAAGTAGTATAAAAAAAAAAGCTAACATAACTATGTGATTTTAGAACAAATTCTTAAAGTAACACTACTATTTTCAGGTTTCCGTCAATTAGAGGTAATTCTTTACGCAGCCAAAAGAACTCAAAATACCGTGACTGAGCTCCTCTAAACTAACACAACTGACTGCTTGCTCTCGGCTTTGTGTCCAGTGAATTTGATACAGTTGTTTTGGAGCTTCACCCATAACCAAACATCAAGACAAAAACCTCAAGCTAGCCGTCTAACTCCATATTAGTCTTACATGGAAACCAGATCAAAATTGCACTGATGTGGGCTCGACTCCTGTTGTCCGCTTCAAGTTGCAGCGATAACTTTAAGTTGTTCATGTTTACCAAAACTACTCTACCTTTATCTCTTCCTTTAATCTTAACTATAAGAAGAAGAACAAAAAATCTTAGATTTTCTCTTTCCTCTTGGATGATTATTTGC